GGACCTCCGGCCGCGACGCCGCAGGGGAACCGCCGGGTTGGGAAAGCGGGTGGGGAATGGGGGGGGCGGGGTCCTGGCAGGGCGCCGGGGCCGGGGACGCGTCCGCAACCACCGCCTCACGGGGCCGCGGCGGTTCCGTTGCGGCTTGGCCGAGTCGGCTTTCAGGTCCCGGCGCGAGGGGGCCACCGACTTCCCCGTTGTGCGCCCCTGTATGGGATGACTCACGCTTGGATATACTCACGTTGGCATCGGTGTGCCCAATCACATCATGATCTTGCCGCGCGCGTGCGTTGGGAAATCTCGCTTTTCCGAGCCGACCTTCCGCGAGCTTCGCAAGATCAGAAAAATCTGTGCTCCTAGATGGATCGATGCGGCGACGCCCATGTGACCTCGCGGCTTCGTTTGCATGCGTCGGAGTCAGAGCCTGACGGCCCAAGCCACTCCGCTTCACACCACGGTGCGGCTTCGCGAGCGAGCTGGGGCGACCCTCTGACGGAACAAGACCAACAGCACTCGCAACGAGACCTTTGCGGGTATGCGCAGGGCATGCTTGCAATGTAGATCTCATGGGTTAAAACGGAACAAAAAGCAAACGGAAATAATCACCAAGACTTAAATTGTTAAAGTGAACAAAGTTGTTTGTGAAATATATCTGAAAATTTGTTGGAAACTATATAAAGAACTATTTATAATGCAATCTAGATGAATAGAAAAATAGGGAAATTAATATCACAATATGCGGTTGAGGAGGAGATTCAGTAATAGCGTTCATAAAAAATAAACACAAGAGGGCGATAGCTCAACTTTCAGCTCACCAAAAGAGGCTGGTGATGCCGACCAACGTGCATCTATCAGAAGCAATGTTTCAACTGTGCAAATAAGCTGAACTATTCAGAGGAGAAATCGAGTTAATTATATGGGGAAGGAGGTCTCTGAAGCTTCGTCGTATAGAGGGGCTTGACGCATACGTATTATCGTTTTCTTCCAGATCTTTTGCCATTTGATAGCGACTTTCGTCTCGAGTAACTACGAGACTCAGCATCGTCTTTATGTTTTTCGTGGGTAGTGTAGAATAAGCCTTCTATCTGTGCTTACTATGGCATTCCATCAAATTGAATTTATAGATCCATCCCAATCTGATGAGGAAGCGCGTGAAGCAGTTGTAGGCCGTTGCAGATCCATCTCTTCGTGAACGCTCGTAGTGCATGATCCTGGTGCTTTTTAGCATAGAAAAAATACGCAAGCACCTGGGAATATACACTTCAGTAGAGTGAATAGGCTTGATGTGCTACATGAGCAATGGCAAAGATAAGGCATTCCCAGAGACTTCAAAGTGGTTCATGTAAAATAGAATACTATTCACATTTCTATGCTCCGACAATCCACACCCTTAGCAGCTTAGTTATCTGAAAGTTTTGGGAAAAATAAGAAGCGAAATGTGTTAATTCAGTAATTCATAAGAATAACAAACCTCTTGTTGACATCTTTTCAGTAGATGAAAGACTCAATTTCCCTATACTTGCTATGGAAAAACTCGGAGTTACATGTTGAAAAACGCTCTTTGGGGAATTAAAATTACAGTACATCCTTCATCTGTACGTACATACATACATATATATATATATATATATGTACGCATATACAGAAATCATCAAGTATAAGTGTTTCAAAATGACCTTTTAACTTTTCCACCACCTGTGAGTTTTTCCAGACAAATTCACTACTCTGAGCCCGGGTCACCAGGCCTCGCCTCCCTCTTTCATCCCTAAACATTCGTGGAAAATAGACGAGGAGACTACCCAAAGGTCTGCGCAGTGCAACATCGAAAGCGAAAGCGGCAACAACAATTTATCACCGCTTCGAAATTGCATACTTAATTGAATCTTCTCGGTTTGGTGTTTCCTCCATGTCGTTAAGGGGTGAGTAAAATGCCAACGCAAAGCGATAATTACTCATTTATACCCATCTCACCAGCCCCCATACAAAGAAGCCGTGTGAATAATAAACTATGAAAAACAAAATTGGTGAAAGAAAGGTTTGCTCCGTTCAAAGAAACGAAATCCACCTTTTTTTCCGTTCTAATGCACATTGCAAATGTATTTTCATCATAACACCCTAGTTGGAGTTCAACACCAGCCTGTCAAATCCCATATTCCGCTGCGACCCCATGACATTTTGAATATCTATATCCAGGTTGTTCCTACTACCACCGTTGGCATTCTCCTCCGAGTTCAACGACGCCTGCTTCGCGCTGAGAAGATTCTTGAGGTTGGTGAAGTACTCCACCTGCTGCACACCAGAGGTGTAGCTTTCGTTGATATCACGGTGTTTAACCTGCAGCCACTTAATGCGGTCCTCCAAATTGCGAGCCGTTTGCGTAAAGTACTCGGTATAGGATTTAAAGTGGCGATCAAGAGAAGCGCCAGTACCAGCGCGGAATTCACCCTCGTCGTGCACAAGCTTCCGCCGCGCATCCTGCAACGTGTTCTGGCAATGAATACGGTGATACATGGACTCATTCACCGCTACCTCCTCCTTCACGCGCGTTACCTGTTCGTCGAGGTTGCGCATGTTCTCCGTCAAAAGACCCTCGAGATGGTCGTAGGTCATCTTTTTCGCATTCCACTGCTCATCCACCTCCGCCGCGGTCTGCCGCACGACCCGAAGCTCGTTAATCAATGGCGCGAGCCGATTGCGGCCCTCACGAATCGCGAGATTAAAATCCTGCACCACGCGTGAGAGCTCCTCCAGCGTCTTGCCTTTCATCCCTTCAATGACATTTTTCTCTTGGGTGAGCTTCGAAAGCACCTCCACTGTGCGGCCGTAGCCTTGAAGGCCCATTTTGCTCTCCAGGTCTCTAATTGTTTCCTCGAGCTCCTTGTACCTCCCTTGGAGAAGCTCCTTGGTGAAGACCAGCGTCCCCCACTCCGCGTGCAGTTCCGTAAGTCGCTGTTTCACCCCTTCGGTAACCGCCTTCTTGACTCGAATTTGAGTGAAAAACTCTCGAAATTCATCCTCGCTAATCATGTTACTCGCGCTACGAAGCTGGGTGATGTGCGCCTCCCGCTCCCGGATGCTGTCGAGAACCTTATTCCTATTCGTTTGCCAACTGCTTAGCTCATCCAACACCTCCTTCTTATGGGCGATCACGCGCTGCACCTGTTGTTTGATGGTTGAGATTGAGGAGCCGTCCTCACTAGGGAGCAAGCGCTCTTTGATTTTATTCTTGAGGTTGCGTAGGGCATCCTCCAGCTTTTGATTCTCGTTCGTCAAAATCGTCATGTCAAGTGGCTCCGAGAGGAGCTTGCGGAGCTCCTCGTTTTCCTTCTGCTTCGCATCCAGCTCGAGCGGCAGTTGCTCCTCCAGCTTGATCTTGTTGGTTTGGATTTCGTCCTTCATGCGGCGAATCATCGTATCCACGCGACCCTCCGCAGCGTCGCGGCGAAGGCATTGTAGGCTATTGCTGATCTCCGTCCGACGCGCCTCCGCGTAAAGCATGGACTGCTGGAGCTCCACGAACTTCTCAGCCAGCTTGGAGCTTTCCTCTTGCGCCGCTCGGAGAGATTTGCTCTCCGACAAAAAGAGATCCTTATCGCGAACATTTTCCAGCTTTTTCATCGCGGCTTGCAAGTACTCTTTCAGATGCACGTTCTCCTCCTCGAGGGCGGCAACCTTTCGCCGTGTTTCCTGCGGGTCCGTAAAGGCGGAGTGCAGCGCGTCGACGCGGCGATGGGTTTGGATAAAAGCCCCGCGAAGCTGCTGGTATTGCGCGTATAGCCCCCGCACATCCTCATCCTGCGCGCGAATATCATCCGGGATCTCCAACGGCTGTAGAAACCGGGCGAGGTACACCCGCTTTTTATTAATTTCCATATGCGTGAGAACCCAGTAGAGCATGGGGTAAATCACCGTCGGCTCCGCATTCGCGAAGCTCGCGTGGAAGGTGCTCTGAATAAGCGGCGGCACGCGATAGCCAAGGGGCTTGAGGAGAAAATCCGTCAGGATGGGGATATATTGCGCCGAGGAGAGTGACTCAAGATCCATCTTTAGGCTTGGCTGCAACGTCGCAAACACGTCGTCGACAACCTGGAGGAGCTTTACCGGGCTTAAGGAATCGAAGTCGACGAGAGAGTAGTTGCGATTAAGGAGTTCATTGACGTGATCGACGACGTACTGGAGGAGATCCCCCGTGCCGAGCTCATTCGCCGACTGTTGGCGCTGCAAATCGGAGGAAGTACTATTGCCGGCATGCGGGGGCGATCCTAGCGTGGGTGAATGAGATCCAATCATTTCCGTACAAGAGAATTAAGTAGAACAAAATTATACAGTACCTTTTCTTTTATGTCCGTCCCACGAATGCTAAAAAAAAAAAGCTACACGTGCTCCAAACGCATCCACCAATGAAAGATAAATTTGAGAGAAAACATAAAGGATTAGACTCCGAATACTTCGGTGAAAACGAAGATGGTAGTGGAAATTGAATTCCACCTTTCGAAAGTGTTCAATGTGTCAGAATAAATGCCACGTTTGAAGTTCTTTCGCGTGGCGAAGAATTGAAAAAGGACAATCGCAGTAATCTTTCAAGTCTGTTTTTTGGTTCTCTTAATGTAATCTGCAATCTTGTTTTGTGCCTCTGGCATATTATCACAAAAGGAGAGGAAGGGGAGGGAAGGGGGGAAGCAGTATTTATCCCAAATAAAGCATCATACGCTTGTGCACTCGTCACTCCCTACTAAATTAAGCAATACTTTTTTCTTTTCCTAATGCCTCCAGATCGCTTGCACAGTGCGCATAAGCCCTTTAGCTTCGTTTAAGCCGCAGCACACGTCGATCTAGAGCGTCATAGGGTTCTTTCAGTGGGGGAACATACCCCCCGGATGCCGTCATGAAACCCCCCAGGAGAGATTTGTTCTCCTCACAACGCAAATCCGCAACGTGGTCGACGGAGCTGACCACGGCCGCCGCCGCGACCAGCGCCTTAGGGTCCCGCAACCGCTCCTCGTCAAAGTTCTCCAACGCGAACTCCTTCGCGATGTTGGATAAATAGGTGATACAGCTTTCATTGGAAGGCATCACGGTGCCAAGGCGCTCCATCAATTTTGGGTTGACCGAGAACTCCGTATTGTTAACGCTGATTTCAATAAGCCCCTTGCCGAACTTGGACTCGAATGCTTTGCGTACCGCGTTTAACTCCGGCACCCTGTCAGCTAATCGTGCAGAAGCCCACACAACAGAAGAAATGGCTTCTTTGAGCTCCAGTGGGAAGGCTAGGGGATGGCTGCTTTTGCTATCCCCACTCTTTCCAGTCTTACATTCTGCAATAAGCTGCACGCGGTGGGAAAGAAGATTCAGAAAGAGGGAAAGCACTTCCATCCCTTCAATACTAAGATCATCGCGAATGCAAGCCTCGACATTGATGCGAGCACTATCATATTTATCAATAGCCAGCAATTCTGCGATCCCGCGCCGTTGCACTTTGATGCTGTTGACAAGCTTATTTTTTTGAATATTAATACGCGTAATGGCCATGCGGAGATTGGCCTTGACCTTGTTCGCATCAAAGGAAGAGCTAGGCTTCATAAAGCTATCCATTGTTGACTTGATTCTCATTTGAGTATTCCTAAAAATAGTCGCTATCTGTTACACCTTGAAAAGTTAATACCCAATATATATGTATATATACACAATATAAATATATATGCAATAATATCGGAATCTGCCAGAAAATGTGGGAATAATAAAGCAATACGAATTACAGCTTGGATGATTCGACATGAAGATGGAGATGCAGTGAAAAACCGTGCATAAACTCCATCTATATTCCACTACCCAATCGATCACCGAATGTTCCGAAAAAGTAGGGGGAAAGTTAATCATCAAATGCTTTGCTTTAATAAATTAATCTCATTCGAAAAGTCGAATAACAATAAAGAACTTCGCAATGCTTATTAAATACAACAATCACTCCTGAACGTCGTTGCATTACGAAGCCATCATGCAGAGTATTGTGTAGGCATGAATAACCAATTCCTAGAGGGGCATCTCTCCCCCTCACTCTCCCCATTCGTTAAAGGGCTTCCTCCTCCAATGGCGGCATGTCGTCATCCTCGGGCTCCTCTGTTTGGTTCTCCCCCGGCACGTCTTTCATCGAGCCGAAACGGGGGATCTCCGATTCGTCAATCCCGGCTTCCGCCGCGGCCTCCTTCCGCGCATTCATCTGAAGCTCCTGGAGGTCGAGCTCGCCACCCTCGCCAAAGCCGTCAAGTGGCGCCTCCTCCAAGTCGTCTTCCAGCCATCGGCTCCAGTCGATCTGAATCGACTTATTTTTCGTCGTCGTCTCCGTCAAACGCGGCCAGTTCACGTCCTCGTCCTTGGCGTCGTCGATCAAGACGCGCTTTTTAAGCTTTATTTCGACCTGCCGGGGACGCACAACGTGCTGGCTTTCCTCCGGGGAAACCGCGCGATAGAGGGGAAGACGACACATGTAATGCTTAGCAGCCTCCCCTGTGCTCGTTGCAGGGGTATCGCAGGAAAAGAAAAAGGTGCGCCCGTCGTCGGGAAGCTGTAGCTTGACATTCTGGCAGTCCTGCAGGGAAACGGTGATCAAGATGTACTCAAGCCTCTGGGCCCAGAGTAATGGGGGGAAAAGTGCTTTATCGGAGCTCATTAGGATACGATATAGAATGGATGTCTAGTTATAGTGGTGTTCTTTTTTTTTTTAAGAGGTGGGGGGGGGGAAGAGGAAAGAAGGGGACAAATAGGATTTAGCAAATCTTAAATAATGTATCCATAAGTTTATAATTCGTTCTTTTGTATAAAGCATGCAAGTGAGGCTGCATTATACACAAGTCGTTCTGGTAACTAAAATACATCAATTATTTACTAAAAGAAATGATACGTTAAAATGAAAAAGTTAATTGTAGGGGTTTCTAACTCAGCGGCTGCAGTAATTAACGCACAAGTCTTTCATCACTTTTGGGTTTCTCATTTTCAATAAATACATTATAATGAGATTGTACACGTTGCCACAGGGCCCATTGTAGTATGTGTATAAATTCTAACCACAAAACACATAACTAATGTTACGTGCATATCACTTGGCCAGATACACGAAATATTCTAATACAAGGTTGAAATTAAAACTCGGAAAACCGATAAAAAAAGCTTGGAAAAGAAGAAAATTGATCAGGTAGATATTTAAAAAGTTATATATATTCATCTGAGGCTTAAATCAAGGAAGCAAAACATGGTGAAATAAGTGATCAAATATCTTCATGTTAATTCCCTAACCACCGCGTGCAGGTGTGGGAATTCTGACCGCCGTAAAGCGAGACGTGAAACCATAAACATCTCCTTCGATAAACAGCTCTGTTCTTAATGGGTGCACTTCAAGCATGTATATCTCTCCCATCTCCGGATCTTCCACCACTCTCGTATTTCCCAACGGCTGCACATTTCCGACTTCGGTCATCGCAACCTTAACCGTCATGATATTGTCCGTAGTATCATTATAAAAGCCCCAACGACGGTTCACGGTATCCTTCAGCCTGAACAGCAGCCCATTGCCGTACTCTTTAAAACACTTGTGCACCACATCCGGCTGGATGACGCTCAGGTCCGGCGAGCCGTTCTCGTATTGCGGGTTCTCAATCGCCTCCGCATCGCGAGTGGGGGTGGCGGAGAAGGTCGTCTCGATACCCTTCGGATCCCCGACGAAAAAGGGCACCGTGGTGAGCGGGTTCACCTGAACCGACAAGAGCACCACTCCTTCCGCGTCGTCATGCGTGACATCCACCCCGGGCGCCACCTGAATCTCCTCACAGGAGGGAATACGGGAGTTCACCGTCATCATGAAATCCGTGGTGTCGTTGTAAAAGGCCCAGATCTTGTTAACATCGTCGACAATTCGGAAGAGAAGCCCATTGTCATGATCTTTAAAGCACCGAAAGACATGCGACTGATGCGGGACGATGGCGGGATCGGGGCTCCCGTTTTTGAATATGATATCACTCTCCCCTCGGTTGGCGATCGGATCGGCGGCAAAGCTGAGCTTGTAGGAGGTGGGTGCACCCGAAATAAACATCTCGGTCTGACCTGGCTCGATTTCGAGAACATACACAATGCCTTTGGCGTTGGAAGAGGGGGTCTGAGCAACCTTGGTGCCGTTAAGCGGCGTGGCCTCATCCTTGTTTGGAAAGTCCACCGATACCTTCATGATGTAATCACGGGTATCGTTGTAAAAGGCCCACGTATTCCGCTTCTCATCCACCAGGCGAAACAACAGACCATTGCCCTTGTCTTTGAAGCACTTGTAGACCTTGTCGTAGGGCACACTGGGCACGCGATACTCAAACTCGATGTTCTTGGCTGGCGCGGCCTCTGAGTAAAACTCCATGATATAGCTGTTGATTTCGCCCTTCACAAACAGCTCGGTGGAGCCTGGTTCCACCTCCAAAAATGCCTCCCATTCGTACGCCTTAGATGCATTCCCTGGCGTCGACCCCTCAGCCTCGGAGGCAGCCGGGAGCTTCACAAGCATCGTGCGGTCCAAAGCCACAACTTTGCTACCAGCACCAAAACGACTCTTCACCTTTACAATGTTTTCCGTGCTGTCGTTGTAAAATGCCCACTCCTGTGTTTTCGTATTCACAAGCCTGTAGAGAAAGTCATTATTCTCAAATCCAACGTAGCATTCGTCGTATTCAAATTTGGGCGACCCATTCTTGAAGTCAAGCTTGTCACGGGGTACCAATGTAGACATCGTATCGGTTCGAGTTTAGTACTGTGTAATAATCTGGTTAGATATCTGTATAAAAGGATTTTTCCTATTCAAACAAAGAAAAGTGTCAGATTGTTTGCTGTGTCTATAAGCACACCAAAACAAGTCTCAAATAATTGTTTTAAAAAAAATCAGAGCAAAATAGAAACTCTTTAATTTATCAAAGTCAAGCGGACGAAGAAAGGGATTAAAGAAATTCATCAATTAAAATGCTGTACACGGCAAAGGAAAAATGCAAAGAATTATCGCATACATTAATTGAAAAGGGAGAAAAATTGCGGTCAGCAGATGTAGTTTAAACAAACGCAAACATAATTGCTGAACATAACGAAACCTCTCTCATAAACATGTCAAGATGAATACTTTCAATTCCCTTTCGAACAGCTTTTTAACAGCGATACAGCGTGGAATGGATGGAACACAAGGGGCAGCATAAACAAAGAGTTCACTACATACTATTCTATCCCTTTAGAGTTGGCCAAACCATCTCTTTGCCCACAAACCTATCTACATCAACATTGCTAATTAACCAAATACAAACTATGTATTCCAAAAAAAAATTTTCCTAATGAAAGGTTATACAGATAAAACGTTTTTGAAAAGACTAAACGATCCCATTGGGAAATAGAGTGAATAAAAAACAACACTTGAGAAAAAAGCAATTGATAGCAGGCAATCAAAAATAACACCAATCATTTGGCCCATTTTATTGTAATTAGCGCTGTAAAGAGGGTAAACTAAGTAGAGACGGGCCGAATAAAGTCCAAAAAAAAACACTATAAGGAAAATTGATATGAGACATAATCAACATTTGTGCACTTCCCCCCCCCCCCCCTGAAAAAAAAGTAAAACCTCATATTCAAAACAGTGAATAAATAACCTCAATCTCTCTTCTAAGAAGTAACATCTAGAGCAATTTAACACGCTCGAGAAAGTGCTATTAAAAAATTTGCCTCAACTTTTAATACGTAGCCGATATAGAATATACTACGCACAGAACTTTTCTTCAAGATAAAGCTGCTCCTGATATGTTTCCTATTGATTGAGTAATTGGATTGCAAAACAGTAAAAATGATGTTAATATATGAAATTAATAAATATATATGTATATGAATTTGTTGAGAAAAAATCGATCAATAAAATCATTGCAAGAGTACGTGGGTATCTATGTTTAACAACGATCACGAAGATAATAAAGAACACATCAAAGAACTAGGAAAAGACAGGCTAATCAAAATCTCTAGCAAAATGTTGAGGGAACCTATTTTTCATTTTCTTTTATTAGAGGGAGGGAGGGAGGGGGGAGAGAGAAGGA